GAGATTATGACCTGAGTCAAAATCAAGAGTTGGCCACCCAACCGACTGAGCTACTCAGGCGCCTCTCATTATCTCTTTTAAAAAATACTTACTAAGCAACTGAATAGTTTAGAGAGGATTTCAGACAAGATGATTTACTTATGTGGTCAGATACACTCACTGATGTCATTTCAACACACTTTCATTTATTTCTTAATATCTGTCCCAAAGATGAGTTCTTGAGCAACATTTGGCAAAACTAGCTGGGGTTACTATATATTTTAGGAAAATAATAGTATTATATGTCTCTGTCTCCTTCTGTAAAATTAGATTAGTGAGGTTTATAATACATAAACAGAAAAATCATACAGATATTCCTTTTCCAGCATAAGGAGAAAACACTTGTCAGTTAATTTCTAAAATGCTGTCAATTATAATAATCCTCTTTTCCCCAGTTTTGTTCTGATCTTGCTAAATAAAAGTTGTCAAGACAGCTGACTAGCCCTGGTCTTCAACTAATGTCAAGCCAAGAGTGTTAGAAATCCACTGCTCTATATGGGCCAATGGTTTACTGGCCTAAAGACAGCTGGTCTTCAGATGACATTTGCTAACACTATTAAAAAGCACTGGCTCAAAGTATTTATGAGGGACCCTTCTGACATAATCATCATCAGTCACACACAGTTTTATGATCAGCAGCTTACAATGGGATCCTGTTGTGATATGAATATTTACCAGTCTTGTCAATATGATTTACAAAAGGCTTCAAAAGGAATTGATTTTTAAATTGGTTATTTAAAAATATGATATATTGACCTATCCTCATGAATGAAAATACAAGTACTATTTAAATTTAGGTGTGGTTAAAACCATAATGAGATACCACTCTATACTTACTACAGTGGCTAAAAAAGATAAAACAAAACAAAACAGACCAACCTTACCAAGCGCTGACTGACAAGGAGACAGAACGACTGGAATTTTCCCATATCCCATGGGAATGCATGATGGTAAAGACACTTTGGGAAACAGTCCAGCCGTTTCTTAAAAAAGTTAAACTCACTTACCATATGACCCAGCAATTCTAGTCCTAGGTATTTACCCAAGTGAAATGAAAATTTATGTCCTAACAAAGTCTGTAGGTGAATGTTTGCAGCACATTTATTCATCTTAGCCCCAAAGAGGAAACCACCCATATGTCCATTAACTGGTGTCTAGATAAACAAATTATGGCTCTTCCTTACATTGGCATACTATTCAGCATAAAAAGGTATGAACTACTGATACACATGGCGAGGCGACGTGGGGGAATCTCAAAATCATTACGCTAGCTGAGAGAAGCCAGACTCGAAAGTTCATTCTCTATAATTCCACTTATATGACATTCTGGAAAAGGCAAAACCATAAAAGGTAGAAAACAAATCTGTGGTTGCTGGGAGTCAGGTTGACTACAAAAGGGGATAAGGGAATTTTTTTGGGGGGGTGATAGAACAATTTTATATATTGATTGTACGGTTTCATGAGGGTATCAGTTTGTCAAAATTCATAGAACGGCAGCCCTAAAAAGAATATTTTTATTATATGTACATTTTGCCTCAATAAATTCAGTGTGATAATTGGAAGATACATAAGAGTTTAAGATAGGTATATCCTTTCCTTTTATACTTAAAGATACAAATGAAAGCCAACAACCTCGCTCTCCTTATGGCAGAGAGAGGTTAACTTCATTGCCAGCTCAAGATCAGGTAAAGGCTCCGGTGTTACCATGGATACAAGCTATTATTTCCTTTTGTGTAAAATCTCTAATATTAAATGGTGACTCACATGGACTATAGGGGTAGACTCAGAAACAATCAAAGTCACCCAAGGGTTTTCAGCCCTAGGACCCCTGCCCATAACGTTTTCTTCATGAACATAAGAGAAACTATAATGTCAGTGAAGATATCTTTAAGGGATTAAAAGAAGAAAGGTTAAAAACTTTTTGGCTAAACTTGAGGGCAGTTCTAAAAACGGCACGCTAGCGTTAAGGCTGTGAAGACTATATTTTCTTTTGTTTGTTACAGAAATAATTTCCCATAGATCAGTTGCTAAAACAACATGTGGGAGGCTAACCTGTCCTCTAGCTGTTGACTTTCCTGTGAGATCATGGTTTTCTAATTAAGACAGTGGATAGTGGGCAGATAGAGAGTAAATTTAAAAATCAGCAGAATTCTTTGTGGTAGGGCTCAGATTAGCAAGGTGTGGTAATTTATTTAAAATGATATGAAGGTAGAAATTGACTCCTAAAGGGCACTTATTTTAGAACTCTACTTAAAATGTGTTGCCACAGAGACTGCCATGCATCCACCTAATAACCACTAAAAATTAAAATCCTAGCCGCTGCCACGGAGTGAGTGCTTCCCACGTTACTAGAGGGCTACACATACCTCTAGGATGTCGCCTTGCTATTTATGGTCCAAAAATCCGGGGCTCCCCCCAGGCTCCATGCTAGTCCTTGCCTCTGTGCTTCTGTCCATTATTCCGACATTTAACAAATATATTTACCTACCACGTATCTATTAGTGATTGAATTATGTCCCCTCAAAGTTTCCATGTGGAAATCCTAGCCCCCTGTGCCTCAGAAGGTGATGTTATTTGGACACAGAGTCCTCACAGGTCTGACTAGTTAAGATGAGGTCATCCTGGAACAGCATGGGCCCCTCAGTCCTCTACAAATCGTGTCCTTATAAAAAGCAGAAATGTGGACGCCGACAGGCACAGCGAGAGCGCTTGGGACAACGGAAGGCAGAAAGCGGGGTGATGTGTCTCCAAGCCAGAGAACACCGGAAGCTAGGCGACAGAACGGGGAGCAGAGTCCCCTCACAGCCCTCAGCAGAACCAACCCTGCCAACACCCTGATCTGGCACTTCTCACCTCCAGAACCAAGACAATACATTTCTGTTGTTCAAGCCAAACTCTACGGAAACCAAATCCCACAGAACAAAACAAAACTGAAGTACATTTCCTACTGACAAGAAGATTCTGCAAGGGCGCCTGGGTGGCTCAGTTGGTTGAGCAACTGCCTTCGGCTCAGGTCATGATCCTGGAGTCCCTGGATCGAGTCCCGCATCGGGCTCCCTGCTCGGCGGGGAGTCTGCTTCTCCCTCTGACCCTCCCCCACTCATGCTCTCTCTATCTCAGTCTCTCTCTCTCAAATAAATAAATAAAATCTTTAAAAAAAAAAAAAAAGAAGATTCTGCAAATGTCTCAGAGGCTGCCACAGCGCAACACCTCCTTCAAGGGGCTGGGGGTCGGTGGTGAGGTCCGGCATTGCTCCCGTGTGGGGCCCGCACGCTGCTCGCCACTCGCCGGCGCCGACCCCCTCGCACGCTCCTCCCTCACTGACGGGCTCACCCCTACCTCCTCAGACCACTCTCAGATTCGAACCTTGGAGCACCGTCCCAGTTTTATCAACTAGTAAAGCAACTGGGGCGATCGTTCCTAGAGGAAAAGAGGGCCCATTGCACGAGGCGTGAGATGGTAGCCGTGGTCTGGGGGAATCGACAGACAGACGCCGTGGTCTCTGGGGGAATCGAGAGACAGACTCTCCTCCTGGCAGGGGCGCCGAGGCACAGCCAGCGTCGGGGCATATGGACAACCCTGGCAGCCTCGCAAAGCAGCTGTTACACCCATTTCCAAGCGCGGGGACCTGAGCGGCGACTGTAATGACATTTTCCTGGCTGGCTCTGACCTCTGAGTCGCACTGATTTGTCTAACACACACTGTGAAACATCAACCAGTTCGGACTCAAAGCCAAGACTCAAAAATTGCTTTAAAATGGCAGGAGATGGTTAAGACATAATTTCTGTGACTTGATCATTAACTTGTTTATATCCCAGTCTGCACATCTTTTTTTTTTTTTTTTTTAATACCCTTTCCTCTCAATTATTTTTCCCTGCTTGGCTAATGTTTCTGTAGCAGTTACCTCTAATCATTAAGACACTTTTGCAGGCAATTCATGCTCCTGATCTTGGAGAGCAGTCAATATGGATGGGGGAATTAAAACAATATCCTACTCACTATATAGTTGAGTTGCCCATCATTCTATTTACATTTCCCTTGTTTAAGTAAAAACAGGGCTTTTTTTCCCCCAGGAAAGAGTGTTTAGGTTTGTACATTCCAAGGGGTAATACAAAATACCCACGTGTGATGATAACTTATGCTGTATTGTTTTACGGTAACTCGAAGGCTCAAACGCCGTAAGTCTATCACACGTCACTTGATGTTTTCAGACCTCAATCCCGCTATGAGTCTTTGATTCTATTCCCTGACTGCTGTGCTGGGGTCTCCCGTCCCCTCAACCCCTCACCCCTGCAGTCCGTGTTCCCTCTCCTTCCTCCAATGCCCTGCAGCTCCTGTCTCTTCCTAATGACTTCCACATACACATCTTTAGCTTCAGTGTGGGAGGCCGAAGTCTGGCGCCCCTTCACAAAAGCACAGACACCACCCTGTTTCCAAAGTTGCCCATTCTGCTGCTTCATCCATTCCACCAACAAACATGTCTTAACTATGCACGGTCGTGTGTTCGTGAAACCCGACTAGATCCTCAGTATAATCCAGAAGAAGTGAAAACAATGGAGTTTACCTTTACACGGAGCTTGGAAACGAAAGCCTGTCAGCATGCTTTTAACTTAGAAGTTTTCAGAGGGCAAAACACTCACGTCATGATCCGCAAGGATTTTCTGACCATTTGCCACGAGGCTAAATTCCATTCACAAACCTCTCCACCTCCTAGGTTCTCTTCCTTAGCTTCCTACCTCGAGGGTATATTTCTTCAACAGATTTCTTTGGCTTTGCTGTTTCTCCACATTCTGCCTTTCTGCACCCATTAGCACTTTCCTTTCCTTGCGACCCCACATCCGGTTGCCCGTTCTCCTCCTTCACCTTTCCCGGCAAATGGCTGCCATTTCACTTCCACTTAATACACAAGTCCCTTGCCCCCAGACAGAAGAGAAAGAAAAAAAAAATGGGGGCCCGGGTACCTGCTGCATGCCTTGCATGGTCTGCTGCAGGAACTGCAGCTGCTGGTCCTTGGTGACGGTTTCCTCTGCTCGAAAAAGCTGTTCCTTCTCTTGTTTCAGCAGCTCCACCTCATTCCTGTAGGCATCCAGCTGCCAACGGAGACTGTCGTTCTCCTCTTTGAGAGCGTAGGCCTGAGCGGCCAGGGCTGGAAGACAAACAGAACGAGCTCCAGTCAGTCACCTTCCTGCTTAGACGGAGGAGGGGGCCTTTCGTGGGAAGGGCAGTCTCTCGCCCCAGTTCCGAAACAAAACCCAAAGGCCTTGCCCCAGGGCTCTGCTCTTGCATTTGGCGGGCATCACTGCTTTCGGCAGTTGCATCTATTCTACTTATGGAGGAATGCTTGCTGGGGGCACAGGAGTCACTCCTTCCAAAGTCCTGTCTCTTGACCTCTCCCCCCAAACCCCCTCTCAGAAGTCGGCACGTGTGGCTAGGTGGTGACAGTGTCGACAACTCCAGGCAACAATCGCACCCACCCCGGTACTGTTTCTGCAGGCTGGCACGGCGGCTCTCGGGCCCACTTTCTTTCCAGTGATCAGCCGTCCCGCAGGTTGAGGCCTGCGGCCGCCTCCCAAACCAGGAAGGAACCGACAGTCCTGCCGTTCCTCCCTGCACGGCCGCTGGGACGCATCGCACAGCTTGTTTGCTCGCTCCTATCGGAAGGGTAACCTGGTTCCATCTGTTTCACTCACAGATTAAAACTCTGCTTCCCTACAAGGCTGAGTGTTTACTCGAACACTCCTTCCTGAAACCTAAAACTCTCTAGGTGCGGATCCGGACCCCACACACATCTCCATCTTACCGAGAGACAGAGACCGTTAACGCAGGGTCTTCCACATCTCAAAGTCCAGAAACAGCGGGAACTGAAGAGAAGAGAAGAGTGAATGGTACGGAACAACACTGAGGATGGTTTCCAGCTTATTGCTTTGCGGCCTCTCCAGGGATAAGATCAGTCGGTTGGATGCCCACCACGCGACGACGCCCACCACGTGACAGACACTGGGGCCAGAGCTTCGTATGGACTAAGTCACTGCATCCCCCATCAAGCCTGCTCTTAAAACCCCTCTTGACAGATGACAGAAGTGAGGCATAGAGAAGTTACAGAACTTCTCTCATCCCACAAAATAAGTAGCAAGAACAGCCTTGGGGTGTCTGGGTGGCTCAGTTGGTTAAATGTCCAACTTTTAGTTTCAGCTCAGGCCATGATCTTGTGGGTTGTGAGATCAATACCCGTGTCCGGCTCCTTGCTCAGTTGGGGAGTCTGCTTGAAAATTCTCTCCCTCTGCTCCTACCCCCACTCATTCTCTTTCTCTTTAAATTGAATAAATCAATCTTAAAAAAAAAAAAAGTAGCATGAACAGTCTTCAAACCCAGTCTTCAAGTCACTGGGCTGTTCTGCCAGTCCGGATGCATGTAGTTCTTACCATTTGAAACTACTCTCGAATTCTCTCCTCCACTCTCCTACCAGTGTCCCACACTTTCTCCCCCACCCGGAGCAAATTCACACTCTACTGTTGTAAGCAAGACAAAAGCAGAAGAGAAATTTTAAAACTTATCAGAAACTTCTTCAGAGAAGTGGCTTCCAGTTTGTAAGAGCAGGATACGAGGCCTATTGTACAGCAGGTTCTCAGTGTGTGCTCATTTCCACCTCCCACCCCCCAAAACCAATCAGAGAGCACTGGAGGTCAGCCCCCTGCATGTTCTACCTTCACATTACAGTACACTGACAATCGATCTTCACGGAAGTGCTCTGAGACCCCAGTGAATTCTCTCCTCAAATATCAAACATCAAATTATGTTAATAATAGTTTTATAGTTGAGTGGTTTATGGTATTCTGCTTTGCAAAATGATTATGTATAGTACACACGGAAAGACTAATCAAATAGAACATGCAATTAACCAGAAAATTCCCTACCTCAAACCATTAGGGATCAATTAGTCAACAAGCATTTACTGCATACGGACTCTGTGCCCAGGCCTGTCTGGGCATCTTGGATCACAAAAGGAGGAGCGAGAATATGTCTCTTCTCTCAAGCAGCTCAGAATAGCAGAGAAACTGACACATTTGTAAAGAAACTAACACATTCCAGGGAAGAGAGAACAGCCTGATGCCTGGCATATAGTAGGCACTTAGTGAATGTTGGCTGGATGAACAAATAAATGAGCAGCTCTGTGTCAAGGGAATACATCCTGTAGGAGCTCAGAGAAGAGAAAGGAAATCGCAGACCAGAATAATAAAAGAGGGCTTAGAAGGCTGGAAGCCCAAGGACTGGGGAAGGACATCTCCGTCCAGAGCAAGAGCATAAGCAAAAGCCCAGGGAAGAGAACGGGAGGGAGACTATTTGGGGCAGGAAGGAGAGAAGCTCGATCCAAAAGGCAAGTGTTGGGCTGGAGGCGATGAGAGAAGGGTGAGCCATGTCAGGTGATGAGAGGGGACAGATGCTCGAAAGTCAGGCTAGAGAGTTCGATTCTGTGTGGCAGCCAGCTGAGAACCATTCCAGGTGCCTGGGCACCGGAGGGACACGATGAAATTGGTGATTTAGTAAGATTAGTTTGGCAGTGGTGCATGGAATGAACTGGAGGCTGAAGAGAATGAATGAAGGAAATTGTATTCAGTGTCCACGTGTGTACAAAACCAAGGAGCAGCCACTTTTACAGTTTCCGGGGACTTGAAAATCAGAAAGGACCCACAGTATGGCCAGGAGCGTGAACTAGTGCTTATTAACATCACACAGCCCAACTTCAGATCTTGTCCACACCCCACGACACCAACTCCTGACAACTCAGTTTACCAATCCACGAGGAAATGGTTATGAGGCATCCTTTGAGAGGGATGCTGTACTAGGGCAAAATTACAGAAAATGCAAATGATGGAAAAAGTGTTGGCACCACATAAGCACATTACTACATTTAGTAGCATTCAAAGACACTTAAGCCATTTCCTTAGGAAGCTCTATTTGGCCCTTTTTCAATTTAGAGTGGCATTTTTATTATCATAACTGATAGCAGGTGTTTGTGAAGAAATCGATTAGTATGCAGGGATGGAAATTACATTTTCCAAATGAATTGCATAGTCTGCAAGATACGCTGAAATCTGTGTAGCAAAATGCAAGCAGCTATAAAGCATGTGCCAGCAACATTATTTAAATAAATTATCTGAACGTAAATACATATAGGAAAGTGCACCATCCATTATTTCATGGGCTCTCTTAGAAGCTTGTGGAATGGCACTTCTTGGCTGAGCCGAGGGACCACTGTTTCTGCCAAGGAAGAGACAATGCTGTTCGCGTTTGTGGACTAGGAATGTGATATCATTATACTAAAAAAAAAACAACAACCAGCAGTTGTTAACTCTGTAACTGCCCCCCCGCCCCGCCAAATCAATACCATAGCCAATCCCATCAATGTTTTTATAACTGAGGCATATAACTAATTTACATTCCTGATTAAATGATTTCAAGCTTGGTATTTGAAAAAAAAAAAGTTTGCTCATGTGAGAGCAAAGTGGTGATTTCTAAAGGGTGAAAAATTGTATATTGACTCCACTTAACTTCAGGCCACCTGTTTGTAAACATTATTCAGTGTCATGCCACAGCCCTGAATGCACCCTTCAGAGGAGGCTTCCTGGAACATTCTACATTGTTTCTAAAAGAAACAAAACCTTGATAATTCCTAACTTAGTATCATTTTTTTCAGTATATTAAAAACTCAGAAACTTGAAAGTTCCACTCTTTCATTTCTCTCTCTCTCTTTTTTACTCTTTAGTTCTGAGACACTGTATTAAAAAGTTTTGAAAAATGTGTAATCAAGCTTCCATGATAAAATTTACCCTTGAGAGACCGCATAACAAATTCACTATTCAAATAAGCGTAAGGATTAAAAATAAACTACAGTATGCATCTTTTTGTAAGAATCCCTGAGGAGTGCACTATGTTCCAATAAATGGAATATTGAGCTAAGAGCCACCACATGTGGATTACCAATTTTCAATAATAATAAAAAAATACAGTAAGACTTGAAATGTAAACTACTCTCCTGAATATAATTAAATCTTGCTTTGGTGATTACAAAGGTGCTCCTGAATCCAGTGGTGCCTCTGGGTTACCATTAGTTCATTCACCAACCATCAGATTATTGAGAAGCTCTGCACAAGAAACTGTGGCATGGGGCCCCTGGGTGGCTCAGCCGGTTAAGCATCTGACTCTTGATTTCCGCTCAGGTCATGATCTCAGGGTTGTGAAATTGAGCCCCTCATGGGGCTCTACACTCAGCAGGGAGTCTGCTTGAGATTCTCTCCCTTTCCCTCTGCCCTTCCCCCCTGCACACAGGTGCATGTGTGCTCTCTCGCTCTGTCAAATAAAAAAAATAAAATCTTAAAAAAAAAAAAAGCTGTAGCTACAAAAGGGGAAGGCCAGAGCAGTTGTCAGTTTATACTTGCTCAGACCTTAGAAAACCTGTTACTGGGGTTTTCTGATTGGATCGAAAATGAAATAACAGCATAAGAAAAACTCTGCTAACCAAGATTAAATTACATTTCAAAAATTAGCACAGGACTCCTAAAATTACCAAAGTGACATTAGTGTAGGAAAATTGATCCAAAGATTAAATTGCACTGCTGAAAGGAGAGGTTTAAAGGTATTACAGCAGCTTGCTGTACCCTTTACTGGATTCTATATAAACCATTATTCTTTATATTAATTATGGTCAAAGTGACCTCTTCGTGTCTCCTGTATTACTTACCGTGTTTCCATGGGAACAGACAGTGGCATGCTTAACTTCTTTAAGTAAATAATCTGGTGAAAGCCTGGAAATCTCTCCTACTAGCCTGAGCCAGCCTCAGAAAAATAATTAGCACTATATGAAGAATGTAAGTTATTTTGGGTTATGTCCCAGTAAGCTGACAATATGTTAATATCTTTTTCATGCTCAGGCAAGATGTAACTAAATAATAAAACACTTTAACATATTATTTCTAACAATATCTGGATTTCTCAAGAACTGTTCCTCTCAGGGTCTTTGGGGAGCTCTGTGTTTGGCATTCTCCCCCCGCTCTGCCAGGCGTCCTCCTGGAATGCCTGTGGGGTGTTGCTCAAGTGTCTGTTTCTTTCCCACACGCAGAGTCTCTTCCAAGGATTTCATCAGCCGCT